GGCGGCCCTCTCCGCCCGACGCGCTGCCGCCGCCGCCTCTCGCCGCCGCTGAGTGAGGACAGGTGAGGCCTCCGAACCCCGACTCGCTCCGGCCCGCCGCAGCCGCCGGCCCTCCGTCCGCTGTTTATTAAACTTTTCTGTTTGGCTGCTCGGCCTGTGACGCGGCCTCCGGGGAGCGCCCGCGATTGGTTCGCTACGCGCGCTGACGCGGCAGTCCCAGCCCGCTGCCTAATTATGACCGGCCCGGGCGGGGCCGCGGGCCGGCGGCGGCGTGGGGGCGGGGCTGAGCCTCGGAGAGTGCGACTATTGGCCAAGGCGTTGGAGGGGCGTGGCACGGGGGGGGCGGACGACGCTTCTCTTTCTTCGGCCACGCCCCTGCCTCCTGGAGGTCTGCCGGGTGGGCTTGCTTTCTGGTTTGCTGCGGGAGGGTCCCGCGCAGTCTTAGGGGATCTGATAACGTAGCTCCGGAGCGGCTGCCCACGTCTGTAACTGGTCTTCACCTGCGTAGTGTGAGCGGAAGTCTTGAGCTTCTATTGCCCCGGTCCCCAGGAGACCTGGTGGGCCAGAGCAAAGTCCAAGGTCTGAGCCCTGCCCTGCCCTGCCCTGAGCCAGGACTTGCTCAGAGCCAGACTGGAGGCGTGTGTGCTCGCTTGTGTAAAGCACACCCGCAGGCACGGACTCTAGAAGCCCCCTGGACCCTTATCTTTTGCGGAAGCGTGGGTTCCAGTCTCAGCTACCCCTGCACAAGTCGTGCGGTCGTGCGGGGGCGGGGGTGGCTCGGGAAAGCGAGTGTGATGTTGAGAGCGGCTCTACCATGATTTCCCAGCCCAAGCGGAAGTGCCAAAGTCCGGTCTTTACATGAAATTTTGATATTTTGTTAGTAGTGGGGTTGTGCATTAATTTTGACGTTCTAAAATGTTTATTTTGGTCGCTGCCCCCTTATCTATTGTGCTGAAGTTTCTGCCCTACTTTTACAGTTATTAGGGCTCACGGGCGCTTGATTGAGATACAGCTGACCTTTTGTGATTTGGGCTGCTTTCTATGGTCTTGTAGAAAGAAAGGATAGTTGAAGTGGAGGACACAATGGAGGTCAGGAAGAATTCTAAGAGGAAGAGGTAACCTTTGAAAAATTCGGACGACTTCTTGGAAAAAGAAAGGACGCACTCCTGAAGAGGGCGTGAGAGAAACACAGTGAGGTGATAGACAAGCTTCTGGGGCAGGGTATTCTAAAATAACCGCTAAAGCTAAGCCTGGCCAGCCATGGTGACCCATGCCTTTATAATTACAGCATTGGGGCAGGTATATCTCTGAGTTCGAGGGCAGCCTGGAGTACCTAGCAAGTTCCAGGATGGCCAGTGCTACTTAGTGAAACCCAGCCCCGAATAAATATAAATAAAGCTAAGCCTACTGCATGAAATCAGAGCAGAATTGAAGGACCTTACCCAGCTCCTAAGGGTATTCTAGGGGTGTTTTTGAGAAGCATTCAATTTCCATTCAAAATTTATATTTAGGGCTGGAGCATTGGCTCAGCGGTTAAGAGCACTTACTGCTCTTGTGAAGCACATAGGTTGGGTTCCCAGCGTCCTTATGGTGGCTCACAACCGTCAAAACACTAATACACTTGAAAATAAATCTCTAAGCCAGGTGTGGTGAGTCATGCTGCGAATCCCAGCACTAGGGAGGCAGAAGCAGGTGGATCTCTGTGATTTCAAGGTCAATCTGGTCTACAGAGTGAGTTCCCAGACAGCCAGGGCTATGTAGAGAGACCTAGTCCCAAAACAACAAATTCTCATTCATTCATTCTCTCTCTCTCTCTCTCTCTCTCTCTCTCTCTCTCTCTCTCTCTCTCT